ACACAAAAGGGACATTTTACAAAATAATACGTCAAATACGTTAGCTGTCGACCGTAACGAGACTGACCACAATTTTGATATAGAAAATGCTACTCTAATGAGAAAATTATTCACTACGATGTACATGTCTAGAGAGTCTCTTAATCTACAGTAAATTTGCGTCCTGGATCTTACAACATTTTACCATTCCTGGCTGATCTTCCAATATCACAGTGTGGAATATCTACCTTCAAAACTGATGGAAAAACAAAGAGAAAGACTCTACATGAATTCGGGTAGAATTCCTGAATGCCAAATCGCGTCACATGTAAAATTTATCCACCTGTCATACAATTCCCCCAATACTGTTCCTGATATATAAAAATATATATAGTTATGACATATATATATATATATATATATATATATATATATATATATATATATATATATACAACTGTTTCACAATATCACAACTCCTCAGTGCGACTAGACATCCGAATACCTAAATCCCGGATCGAAACCCAAACAATCAATCAAAGTTTCTACCACTGAGCTATGTTCATTCGACAGAGAGGAACAAGTAAATCTAGCGTATTGTTTTTACGAATGTAAACAAATGCCAATCAACTGGAGTGCTCAAATTCATTTTACTGAAGAGCTTTGCATTAATGCAGGTGGCTGTTGTTTATAGAATTAGCTTATCACTCAAGAGTGCTCAATTGAAATATATTTTCAAGAGCTAAATTATGTCCTTCGCAGACAGTATTGTTTTCGCTGTATCACAACTCCTCAGTGCGACTAGACATCCGAATACCTTAAGCCAGGAAGTCTGTGTCTGTGTGTCGTAGCGGAGGATCTTTGATATCCGGTGTAAATTATATATGGTCGTTCCTTGTTATGGTAGAGGGCGTGCATATCCCAGTGATTCTAAGAGCGAAGCCGCCTGGAGTTTCAACTCCTATAGAACCACCCATGACGGTATCGTCATGGATGAGAGACCAGACTGAACTGAACGCGGCCAAACCCCCTAGATTTCAATGGTGAAATTGGCAAAGATCTACACGATCTCAACGCCCAAAACAGCGGAAGAGGGTAGCGCCAGTCGGACTGGTGTAACGCCTATGGACCTTGGCAGACCAAGCATTGGCCAGCCCGATGCAACAAGGTTTGACAGATTGAGCTGCGAGGGGAGGCGCTACTGGCCAAGTGTATGGGCGTCTCCGTCGCGCAGATTCAAAATCATATTCACGCGAATGCCACCAGGATAGTGAAAGAGAATATGGAGAGAGAATGGCGATCATGATGCTCGGGTGCGATTCGCTGCCGACGACGAAGAAGAATAAATATTAGGAAAGAAAACTAATCGAGTTTCACACTCGAATTGAAGGATCGTCAGGCGAGGTTCGATCTTTTGTCTTACATAGCTCGTGGTACGGGCCTTAAATATGGAGTCCTTTTTTTTTTACCGGAAATTAATATCATCCGGGTTCAATATTAAATACTTCTTAGTGTGTAAGCATCTTGTCATAATTTAAGATCTCTTATTTAATTTAAAACGTGTATGTGCAAACATCAATATCGCCAATTTCTCCTTCTGGCATAGTTTACAATATCTACCAACCCCCTCGTTCTACTCCCACTCCCCACAATCTACACACCATCCGACAGTTGATTGAGCTCTCCCTCCCGCCTTAAACCCTCCATATGCACATTTACAGTGCAGTGCTACTAAAATACTTTCACAATCCGATTGTGTTACATGGCTACTATAATTCCCATTGAACGTACCCTCGATTGAGCAGTCATCGTGATGAGGCGCCCTCTACACAGACTCCGGTTCAGTACGCAACGTTATCTGTGCTATGGGTACGTTCAGGGGCAGGTGTAGTAGTCGTGTGACATCATTCGGGTTGGGAAGATATTGTAGTAGCGCTGCCCAGTCAAGGTGCGTTTGGAGGGTTGAAGACGGGAAAGGGAGGGGGAAACATAAAAAAATCGTGTTCTCCATATTTAAGAAGTGTAACACAAGATTATGTAAGACAAATATTGAATTTAGCCTGAATATCCGTCAATTAGTGGGTGAACCACGATTAGCTTTCTTACAAGATAGATAGATAGATAGATAATGGGCAAATTGTGATAGATAGATAGATAGATAGATAGATAGATAGATAGATAGATAGAAAGAAACACTGATATAAATAAATAGATTGATAAAATAATAGATAAAAACTGAAACATAGATAGATAGAATAAAACACTGAGATAGATAGATAGATAGATAGATAGAAACACTGATATAAATAAATAGATTGATAAAAAAAAAATAGATAAAAACTGAAACATAGATAGATAGAATAAAACACGGAGATAGATAGATAGATAGATAGATAGATAATGGGCATAATGGTGATAGATAGATAGATAGATAGATAGATAGATAGATAGATAGATAGATAGAAAGAAAGAAACACTGATATAAACAAATGGATTGATAAACTAATAGATAAAATACTGAAACATAGAATAAAACACTGAGATAGATAGATAGATAGATAGATAGATAGATAGATAGATAGATAAAACACTGAGATAGTTAAATAGATAGATAAAAACACTGAGGCAGATAGATAGATAGATAGATAGATAGATAGATAGATAGAAACACTGTTATAAATAAATAGATTGATAAAATAACAGATAAAAAAACTGAAACATAGATAGAATAAAACACTGAGATAGATAGATAGATAGATAGATAGATAGATAATGGGCAAATTGTGATAGATAGATAGATAGATAGATAGATAGATAGATAGATAGATAGATAGATAGATAGAAAGAAAGAAAGAAAGACTGATATAAACAAATAGATTGATAAAATAATAGATAGAAAATTGAAACATAGAATAAAACACTGAGATAGATGGATAGATAGATAGATAAAAACACTGAGATAGTTAAATAGATAGATAAAAACACTGAGATAGATAGATAGATAGATAGATAGATAGATAGATAGAAAGAAACACTGATATAAATAAATAGATTGATAAAATAATAGATAAAAAACTGAAACATAGATAGATAGAATAAAATACTGATATAGATAGATAAAAACCCTGAGATAGAAAAACTTATATATATATATATATATATATAAATATATATATAAACTGATATATATATATATATATATATATATATATATATATATATATATATATATATTTAAAAAAGTACATAGGTAGAAAGAGAAAGCGTTAGTAGAAAAAACGAGTGCTAGGGAAAAAAGCGGGATAAATAAGGTACTTTTTTTTTTTTTTTAAATAATCTTTTTGAAGTCATCATTAAAGTTCAAACTTAGGTCAATGCTGAAGGTGATGCTAGTATAATGTTTCTTGCAACTTGAGGATGACGATAAAAGTTAGGTCCGCAATGTCCTGACAGTGTGTATCTCCTATGCTGAACATGACGGCAGCCTTTTTCTATAACTAAGTATTTGATTAATATTTCAATAGCTATGTCCATTTGGTGGGACAATACGCATCCACACATTCACTTCTCAGTATATATGTTTCAGTGATCAAGGTGTGTTTTAAAATAATGATGCGAAACAGAATTCTTAAGAAAGAGAGTTCTCTTGGCAGTTTCGTGGTCAAATATTGATCACCTTTCTTCTTTCTTTTGTTCTTCCACCTTTTTATCTATCGATTTTTTTTTGAAGGACCGGCAAGAGTAAAAGGAATTAGAGAAGATTTCATGAGAAGAAGGATGGACGGAAGGAGGAACGAACGAAAGGAGGGAAGAAAGCAGAATAAGAAGAAAAAAAGAGATGACTAAGAAAAGAAAATGTGAACAAGGAAAAAAAAAAAAGAAAGGCTGAAAAAGGGCGAGAAAGAAAATTTCAACAAATTAGAAAAAAACGAAGCAAGACTAAAAGAAAATATATAAGAATACATTTCAAATAGGGAAAAGAGTGAGAGTAAAATGAATGTGCTTCATTAGTGAAGAAAGAAATAAAGAAAGAAAGTAAAGAAAGAAATAAACAAACAATGAAACAAACAAAAAAGCGGAAAGTGCAGAATTTGCAGAAAGAAACAAAGGAACAAACAAAAAACAAAGAAACAAAGAAAGACAGGTAATGGGGAAATAAACAAACAAAGAAGCAGAATGTGAAGAAAGAAAGAAAGAAAGAAAGAAAGGAGCAGAATGTAGAGCGAGAAATAAACAAAGAAAGAAAGAAAGAAAAAAGAAAGAAAGAAAGATGGGTAGAAAGAAAGAAAGAAAGAAAGATACAAAAAAACAAACAATGAAACAATCAAAGAAGCAGAATGAGGAGAAAGAAAGAAAGAAAGAAAGAAAGAAAGAAAGAAAGAAAGTGTTGAGTGAAAGGAAAAAGAAAGAACAGACCACAGACTAAAGAAGAGAGATAGAAACAAAAATGAAAGAAAGAAAGAAAGAAAGAAAGAAAGAAAGAAAGAAAGAAAGAAAGGAAGTGTTGAGTGAAAGGAAAAAGAAATTAAAGACTACAAACGAAATAAGAAACATTGAAACAAGAAAGAAAGAAAGAAAGAAAGAAAGAAAGAAAGAAAGAAAGAGTAACAAAGAAAGAAAGAAGTAAGTAAGAGGAACAAAGAAAGAAAGAAAGAAAGAAAGAAAGAAAGAAAGAAAGAAAAGAAAGAAAGAAAGGAAGAATGAGATAAATAAAGGAAAGATGGGTAGAAAGAAAGAAAGAAAGAAAGAAAGGAAAATGGGATAAATAAAGGAAAGAAAGAAAGAAAGAAAGAAAGAAAGAAAGAAAGAAAGAAAGAAAGAAAGAAAAAGAAAGAATGGTAGAAAGAAAAGAAAGAAAGAAAGGAAAGAATGAGATAAATAAAAAAAAACAATGAAACAATCAAAGAAAGAAAGAAAGGAAAATGGGATAAATAAAAGAAAGAAAGAAAGAAAGAAAGAAAGAAAGAAAGAAAGAATGAATTTTATAAAATGCGAAATAAGAAAAAAGGCAAAAACAAGGTTCAGTATAAAATATAATTTAAATGAATAAAAGAAAGAAAAGTGAAGGAAATATGGAAGAAAGAAAAGATTTTATAAAATATGCAAAAGAGAAAATCAAAGAAATAGAATATAGAATATAATTCAAATGAAAGAAAGAAGAATGGAACAAACATACGAACGAACGAAGAAGATTTCATTTTTTTAATGCGAAAGAAAACAATGAACGAAAAGCTCAAGTGCAAATTATAATGCAAAATAGGAGGAATTTAAATTGGAATGATTGAAACTAACGAAGAAAAATAGGAGGTCAATGAGGAGAGAACGAAAAACAAGTCGAAGAAGTGTAAAGAAAGAAATCGCGGTTGAAGAAGAAGGTGCAATGATGCCATCCTTTTTTCTTAGCAGACGACACACACAAACGGCGAAAAGAGCTCCACAACATATGGCATTCAAACAACAGCAACAGAGCCTCACTTTCATTTTTTTTCCATTGATTATTTAGCCAAGGTTCTGAAAAGGTAAAAAGCGAGAGAAAAAAAATCAGAACCGAATAAAAAATGGCAACAACAATACAAATAATGATAAAAATAATTACATTTGATGATATTTTTTTACTCTTTATTCTCGCCTCATCTGAACGCAATAATTGATACAAGCAAGCTTATTCGTAAGGGGCGCTGTGGTGTACTTACGACTGTAAAACGAATCACGCCAAGAAGAGAGAACAATACTCTTTGGTGATAGGTTGCATCTTCAACGTCTTCTTCCTATTATTATTATTATTATTATTATTATTATATCTATTATATCTTTTTTGAAAGCCGAATTGGTCTTGCTTGAGTATATTACACATTCGTGTGAACGCTTGTTCCACACATTCTTTAGAGTAAAGTAGAAGGTATTTTTATTCACGGAAACACGCAACGGTCTATATTTCTTTATTATTCTAATCATCACATATATATATATATATATATATATATATATATATATATATATATATATATATATAAGAAATATAGTCTTAAGATGTGCTATATTTATGGGATAAAGTGCTCAATATCAGAGATAGAGCGTATGTAAAATAAAAAGTGAACATAGAAGTGAACACTTAGAGGCGACAGTCTGTCTGTTTCATGCTAGATGCAATCGTCAGGCCTGACGATTGCATCTAGCATGAAACAGACTGTCGCCTAATGTTCACTGTTATACATATATATATATATATATATATATATATATATATATATATATATATATAAATATATATATATATATAGAGAGAGAGAGACATATGGTTGTGCGTATATATATATATATATATATATAAAATGTTGAACAGCATTTAGACAACAGCCCTTCAGTTACACATGACCTCTTAAATATTAAATAGTACGTTCAGGAAATGTTTGTTAAGTATGTAGGGTGGAAGAAAGCGATTATCTACGCTTTTACAGAACGAATTTACCGATGTCCGAAGGGCCTTGATATTCATGTGACAGTCGGTTGGTGAGGATCGTTCGGTTGCTGGTATGACCTCGATTGAGACAAGCTTGAGTTGACCCCACGACATAGCGTTTTATATATGAACATAATTTATAGCGCTAAGACTTTACGGTGTCCCTTCAATAAACACTGCATTTTATTTATTCATCCCTTCACACACTAAATGCTTTTTCCATAAGTGTTTTCGATTTTTATGTGTAGGGCAAACATATATATATATATATGTGTGTGTGTGTGTGTGTGTGTGTGTGTGTGTGTGTGTGTGTGTGTTATTTATGGCATGAAATTTACACTTGCCAGTGTTATATAAAAACATTTTTATATATAGAGTGGTAACTTGATTTATGGGTGTCCCAAATAACGAGTTTTTCCTGACACGCGCCGTCTCTCGGCCAATTTTTTGCTTTGAGTTGAGAGCTAAAATTCGGGATACGAACCATCTTCCGCTGTTGAAACTGCACGTTTTCGGAAAGTGGTCGTCTGTGAACAAAGTTCGTATGGATTTGGAAGCTTCCAGTGGGGATGTGTCACCTGTAACGAAGTGGAAAAAAAAAGGCATTCACCGCGTTCGGACAGTAGACCACAATTCAGACAGCGGGTGCAGATGAGAATTCCTGAATGTCCATGAACGCTTTTGCCAGAGATCCAAAATATCCAAATCTGCTATTGTTATGGCGTGTTTTCACAGTGGAGGCTTGTATTTGTACTAAGTCGGTCCTAAAATAGATTCGACGTACAAAACGTTAGGAACTTGATATAATAGGTAATGACGCAGAGTAAATCTAGTTGTGGTCGCTGATACTTTAGTATCCGACTAACGGTCGTCCGGCATCGACTGACTGACCCATTGAGCGACTATATTTAGTCACCCTTCCCCCACGAGGGATCATGTGGCACAAGGCCAAAAATATGCCCATTGAACTCGTATAAACGGGTTCAGGGTCGGTTTACCTCCCCGAAAGAGAATCCGCCCTTCGGCGTAGCCTCCTTCGGGTTCCTCCCCGCCCGAAGGCAGAGAGTTCAACCGATCAGCCGGTCAGCCTGACCGACCGACTCCCTCATTACTCTTACTACTCCTACTTATTATAGGTGGGAGAGTCTATTAACTATAGAATAGGTGTGTTCCACTATAACAGCTATGTAGTGCATGCGGCCATATAATGAAATATGTAATGAAGAGTGTGCAGTTCCTGGCTGGACTCAAACATGTGGCCTTAGAACGTGAATTTAAGCATGGATATATCTATCTATCTATCTATCTATATATATATATATATATATATATATATAGATAGATAGATAGATAGATAGATAGATATTAAAAATCAGGGGGTCAGTTGAATCCGCTGCCTTGCTTTCAAACTTACGGTTTCATCAGGCTTTCTTTGTTTTTATCAAATTACCTCTTAACGCTTTTTTTAAAGCTAATGAACACTATATTATTTTAAAAGAATAAAAATAGACAAACGCAGAACGTTGTGTGTAATAAAAAGGGACGGGGAGAATGTGAAGAAGAAGAAGAAGAAGAAGAAGAAGAAGAAGAAGAAGAAGAAGAAGAAGACAGGGGAAGAGAAGATAAGTAAGGATATTATAAATCTATCGGTGAAGGGGGTGACTGAAATACACCAATACATTTATAATACCCTTGCTTCCCCATTCTTCTTCTTCTTCTTATCTTCCTCCTCCTCCTCCTTCTTCTTCTTCTTCTTCACGTCCTCCACCTCTCTTTCTATTACACACAAAGTCGTGCATTTGTTTATTTAACTTTAAAAAATTACATAGCGTTCATTAGTATTTTTTTTTAAATAAAGTGTTAAGAGGTCATTTGATAAAAATCGCCTGAGATTTCCGTAAGGTTGAAACCAATCAGGCGGTTTCAACTGACCTCCTGATTTTTAAAGTTAAATGTTCTACATGTTATTTTTACCTTTATTTCATTTTTTCTCACGTGTATTGAGTACTTTTTAGTACTACTGTTTCCTGGTCTGATTCAACTCTGACCATTAACCTTTTATGTAATATATATATATATATATATATATATATATATATATATATATATATATTTGGTTGGATTACAGGGTCACACTCACATCAATCAAACCAAATATGTTAGTTCTATCTCTGATATTGAGCGCTTTCTAATAAGTACCGCATATAATATATATAAATAATAATATATATAATATATTACATATATATATTTATATTTATATACACACACTTTTCACACACACACACACACACACACACACACACACACATATATATATATATATATATATATATATATATATATATGAGTTATGAAAACTTGGTAATCTGTATGGGTAGTCCCAAGGAGGATGAAATCCTGAGAGATCAATGTAAATCCAGAGCTAATAATTTAAAGAAAAACAGACCACTTTAAGGTTCCATTATAATAATTTATTTCACCAGAACCCTTTTAAGTGACGCTGGGTCACCAGATAACACTTCAAAAAAAATGAAACGAAAATTTACATTTTTGACGGGTAGTATTAAGTTTATGTAATTTAACAGAGAGGGTAGCGAGGAGTGGTGTGAGAGACAAGATCGAGTTTAGAGAGGGTTTATTTTAATATTTCTTTCAATATATATATATATATATATATATATATATATATATATATATATATATATATTGCTCCGAGCAAAGTGATTACTGAACAAATCGAAACTTCCGGAATAATCCAGCATGTTCCTTTTTTTTTATTCAAACAAAAAAATCGACCAGGATCCAAAACTGTACCGAAAAAATTAACAGGTTGCTGACCTTTCTGATATCTCCTGTTTTATACGTACATCAATTTTTCTGCTTCTGTCATGGTTTTAGGCCTGGTGAATAGTAAAGGACACATCATGGCGCAGCACTCCTTTCATCAGAGTCTTCGGATGAATACTGCTTGCTACACCGAAGTGCTGGAAACACTTGTGAAGCTCTATACAGACCTTGGAAGGGCGTATGCGTTTCAGCAGGACTCTGCACCAGTTCACAAAGCTGTAGTAACCCAAGATTAGATGATAGCCAATCTGCACAAACACATCATACCTAACTCGCCAGATTTAAATACCTTTGACTTTTTCCTGTGAGTAGTTGATGAACGTGACACTAATCAACGTTTGCACAATATGGCTGATTCACTGAAAGCCGCCATTACCTTAGTAATGTTCAATATCAATACAGTGAGGCGTGCATGTCAATGATTCCGGTCACGAACTGAAAACGTCACTGAGCCTGAAGGCAGTGACATCGAATAAACATCTGACCATTGTTGCATCTGTATACCAAGTTTTGTATCAATAAATTTAGTTGTTTGCAAGATGTGCTTGTTTTTCTTACGGTTTCAATTGGTCCTCACATATCTTACGCACCCTGTCTATCGTGTTTTGTTTGTATATTAAGGTTAACTAATCCTTATTACGGGCCTTGGAGACTTTTGAAGACTAAGGTATTTCTTCTCGCTCTTCAGGTACCCAGTTATGCTTTTTGCTGACTTTCTCAAACGGATTCCACGACAATGGGAGATAGATAATAACTAAACAAAATTATATATTATATCTGAAGGCTGTCATGTACAAATTCAATATAGATAGAGAAGCTTGTATCACTATCATCTTCCCACCATCACCGATAATTCGTCCCCAAAACATTTCAAACAAGTTTCCTTCTCTTTCAGGCACGATTCATTTCGCCAACTGTCAAGGTCATCCAGAATCAGCCTACAATCTATCGTCAATAGCATTTTCTGAAAATCGAGTTTCATGTTTTTTAAATGATTCGATTTCAAAAGGGAGCTAACAGTTGGTTTGACGCTAGATCCTAAATGGTTCAGTGTGAGACATCGTCATGTCTTTACGGTTTTTTTTTTTTTTAAATAAATGTTCACACAATAGAATGCCCAAGAGCCCCTCATGGTAAAGGGTTACTGACTTGGGGTTGATGTATGCGCACAGGATAGGTAGTAGGTGCAGAATATGAGAAAATTTAGGAGAGATAACAATTGACTGCCAACTTGAAGTTATTAAGGTTCTATTGATCAGTGAAGCATCCCCTCAGGAGCATGGTATCCAAAGGCAACGGAGATGATTAAACGCCATTAAGACGTTTAGGAAGATAGATCATGTAAGAAAGTGTCAGGAACTTTCTAGTGATTTTCTAAGCGTGGCTTAGATGTGGCACAAGGCCGAAAGTAGGCGGCACCCAGTCGTAATTGTTCCGGTGAGACATGCTTGGTAACTATTACACCACCTCGAGGTGTCCTAATATTGATTTTCAAAGTGTAGCTTAGATGTGGCACAAGGACAAAAGTATTGGGCACCCAATGAGGATCGAACTCACAAGTCGTAATTATTCTAGCGAGACAAGCACGCTAACCATTACACCGCCTCGAGTTGCCCTAATGCTGATTTTCCATAGCTTAGATGTGGCACAAGGCCGAAAGTATGGGGCACCCAATCAGGATCGAACTCACTACTCCGTCGTAAATGTTCTAGCGAGACATGCTTGCTAATTATTACACCGCCACTAGGTGCTCTAATACGGATTTTCCAAGCGTAGCTTAGATGTGGCACAAGGCCGAAAATAGGGGACACCCTGTGAGGATCGAATTCACTACTGAGTCGTAAATGTTCAAGCTCGATAACCATTACACTGCCTCGAGGTACCCTAATAGTGATTTTCCAAGCTTAGATTAGATATGGCACAAGACCGAAAGTATGGGGTACCCAGTGACGATCGAACTAATTACTTAACCGTAATTGTTTTAGCGAGACAAGCTTGCTAACCATTACGCCGCCTCGAGGTGCTTAATTTAGGTACTTTCTATAATCACAGAATCAGCCGACCGTTTTCCAGAATCTAGCATTAACAATGGATTGCGCGTAATCTGCCCTACAGTCACTGAGAAGATATTTGGAAAATAAAAGACTTGAATTTAATTTTGGAATAGAATTAGAGAGGGTCGCCTAACGTCCAGTTCACACGCCTTCTCGATCTTTTGAACAGATAAAGCTCCTGCTTCGAATTCGCTTTCCCTGATCTTTCTAAAGTCTTCTTCAACTCTGTACTTCCAACTTCTGAGCCTGAGCACTGAAATTTTATTCAATAATCATTTATTTTATTTTAGTAGTAGATAAGTAGATAAGTTCGACTACCGTCCGGATCATGCTCCTCCCCGGGCTTTCTAACAGGATTAGAGCTTTATAACTTTTTTTTGTTTAGGATTGGGTTTCCGGTTCCATCTAAAGTCTACTTAAACTCGATTCTTCCAACGTTTGCGCATTCTTACGCTAATTCATTTCCACACAGTAATCCTCTACTTGGGCGGCTCTTGGTCCTTGTATTGTTTTTTGTTTGTTTGTTTTTTTTTTTTTTTTTTTTTTTGTTTTTTTTCAAATATATATTATTGATAATAATTTTTTACAAAAAAGTATTTCTGGTATTAAAACCTATTGTTACACTTTCATAGTGTTTTGACCCCAGTTTGGGGGTTAACTATTTGCCCATAGCTGGGACCCAAACAGGTGCTACCACCCCGGGTCAGGGTGGACCTGGGAACACCAGCAATTAAAAAAACCTCAAAACCTCCTGATCAAAGGCTTGCTGTTGGATGTAGTTTATCGTCTTACCCAGGACCCGGAAGTAGTTTATCATCTTACCCAGGACGTCGATGTAGTTTATCGTCATACCCAGGACGCTGATGTAGTTTATCATCTTACATAGGACGTGGATGTAGTCTATAGTTTTACCCAGGACCCGGAAGTAGTTTATCGTAGTACCCGGGACGCCTTCTATAGGGTGAATGTTAATAAAAACAAAACCAAAACCAAAAAGAAAGAAAGAAAACACTGTCAATAAACGGTAGTTTGAAAGCCTTCACTTTCCAATATTGACAGACTAGCAGCAGGGCCCGGCGTTGCCCGTGCTTGATTCAAAAATCGTACGACTCATACAGCAATCGCTATCACTTGACTTAAAATATTTTTGCCCTTCCTTGCCTTTGAAGGAGTGCCCTTTGCCGTGCTGATGTTGCTACATGCCTTACTTCTTGCCTATCTCACACTGCGAATTTTTTCTAAGCTCTATACTACACATTAAATCTCTTACGAAAAAAAGAACTAAACAAAATGAGCACAAAACGATCAGCTTTAAAAAAGGACTCGTAACTGGAAAAACCGAATGAAAAAAGAATGTTAACAACAAATACTTTTTCACACCCAACCCAGTTCTGCGGAATCAGAATCAACGTTGAGTTTAAGCAAGCGAATGAGCCAATTGGAGTAAAGTGCCATGCAGATTTAAATTTTTCCCACTTGTGACGAATGCAGCTATCGATTTTTTTGCATGCTAGCATACTAGTTAACATTCGTGACAGTCATCTGTTGGCTCTCACGCTGGCCAATAGAAAATCCTGCCTATTTGTGGCAGCCACCTATTGGCTCTCACTCTGGCCAGTACAAAATGGGCGCAAACTACATGAAAACTGCCGTAGAAGCATGAAAAATCGATTATTTCCGCTATCGATGGGAGTTGGAAAATGCAAAATCGGTCCTGGCTTTCCCACTAACTTGGAGCAGATGCATGTAAATTTTGGTGCAAATCCATCAAAAATTGCGGCCGTACATTCGTTACACACACACACACACACGCACACACATCCTGCCTTTTATAGATAGAGGTTTCAAAGCGTTTACGCGGCTTTTCGGGCAATGGATTATTTTCAGCCAGTTTCCCAAAGACGAAAGGTCCCAAGTCGATTGCTACTTTATGTGATTATATTGAATCGATCGCTATGTCTGCTGCATAGAAAGTTGGTTAACTGTGTCGCGCCGGAAACCTTTTGACGTCAAAATCCATCATGCACATTTACAAATCTACCATTCGTCCGTGCATTGAATACTGTTGCCATATCTGGTCTGGTGTTCCTGCTGTATATCACGAGATTCTTAGCAAAATTCAAAGAAGGGTCTCTAATATAATCGATACCTGACGAGTCATTTTGATTTCCGTCACATTCTCACCGGCGTGGCGTGGCTTCCCTCTGCCTTTTCTACAAATATATTCATGACGACTGTTCTGATGTGCTTGTCTCTCTGGTGCCCCAAATACATGGATATAAGCGTCCTACTACATTGGCACTTAAGTCCCACTCTTTTACTGTTGAAATAGTTAAATATTTCAAATTCAGGTTTTTCAGATGGAATCGCTTTCACACGAATGCCCTCAAAGCATGCATTTATCTCTTCACCCAGTGGCCTGGTGCTTCTGCTATTTACCTCGAGGTTCTTTATAAAATTCAAAGATGGATCTAAAGGTAATCTATCCTGCCCAGGCATCTCGACTTTAGTCACTTTCTCAGCGACGTGATGTGGCTTCCCTCTGTGTTTTCGACAAATATTGTCATGCCAACTGTTCTGGCGAGCAATCTTTTCTGATACCCTGACTACATGAATTTAAGCGTGGTACTAGATTGTCATCTAGGTCCCGTTCTTTTATTGTTAAAATAGATAAATGTAACTGCCACTTCTACTCCAACAGTTTCTATTCTCGCACTTCCCAACTGTGGAATATCCTTCCGTTTACTTCCCAGATAACTACAGTCTTTAAAAATTTAAATGTAACGTCAATCGCCATCTTCTGTTGACTTGAACCCCATTCTTCATCTTTTCTCATTTCTTCAATCACCGCAGTCTTTTCTGTCACGTTCACTCACTATAAACCCCTGCGTACTAGTGGCACTCCCATCTTGCTTGGGGTGAAATGAATATATATATATATATATATATATATATATAATAATCGGTTGGTATAATCCAGGTGAGTCCTTTAACACAACATAGAATTTGAAATATGTTAAAACTGATTCACCAAATAGAGATCAATGTTTATTTTCATTAAACAGATGTAATTTTCTTTACAATTGGAATTACGATGCCTTCAGTTAATAACCATTTCCACCTACGAATTTTAATTTTAAAATTCGCAGGATTTTTCAAAATGTTTACGCTATCAGTTTTTAGTGGGGTACCGTTGGAGAAAAAAGGTTTTTACTTGGAGAAAAAAGACTGTGTTCTATAGCCTTGGATGGTAACTCGTCTAGGAGAAGGACAACTCTGAATTCAAAACCTGTGAACAATCGGTTGGGGACGTTTGGACACGTAAAAATGTGTGTTTGGTTCTGCAGAAAGCCTTCACCACTATAATCAAATCATATGTGCTGGTGTCTGGCTGTCGGTTCCAAAGAACTGATCTGCTTGACCCTCATACGTCGAATCGACAGGAGAGTCAGTATATATATATGTATATTTATATATATATATATATATATATATATATATATATATATATAGATAACTAGACTCGTTTCGAAAACTTTCCCTGACGATCCGTTTAGGTGAAACCTAGGTAGGTTTGTCTGGCTCACTAGGTGTATCTATATATATATATATATATATATATGTGTGTGTGTGTGTGTGTGTGTGTGTGTGTGTGTTAAAACATTATTTTTGTAAATTAATGACAACTGTTCTGATGAGTTATTTACATACTCCCTAGACTGCATGAATTTAAGTGGGCTACTAGATTGGCAGTTAGGTACCACCGTTTTACTTTTGAACTAGCTAGACGCAACTCTCTCTTCTATTTTAACAGTTTCTTTTCTCGCACTTCCTAACGGTGAACTCCCTTCCAGTCTCTTGTTTCCCTGCTACCTACGATCTTCAGAAACTTAAATGCAACATCAATCGGCATCTCCTGTCTTCCTAAAGCATGTTCTTTCATTATCATCTCATCACATAGATAGATACTCTTTGGCAGATAGATAGATAGATAGATAGATAGATAGATAGATAGTAGCAGAGAGAGAAGGAATGATATATAAATAGGGATGAATACACTTTCAGAGATAGATAGATAGATAGATATGAATACACTTTGATAGATAGATAGATAGATAGATAGATAGATAGATAGATAGATAGATAGATAGGAGCAGAGAGAGAAGGAATTATATATAAATAGGGATGAATACACTTTCAGAGATAGATAGATAGATAGATAGATAGATAGATAGATAGTGATTTTCCAAACGTAGCTTAGATGTGGCACAAGGCCGAAAGCATGGGGCACTCATTGAGGATCGAACTCCCTACACAGTCGTAATTAATCTAGCGAGACAAACTTGCTAACCATTACACTGCCTTGGAGCACCCTGTACATAGATAGATAGATAGATAGATAGATAGATAGATAGATAGATAGATAGATAGATAGATAGATAGATAGATAGATAGATAGATTACGTAATTGTTACTCGTCTTAAACAGCGTTTGACATACCCATGTTTTCCTACCTGCGAGTAGATGACAAATAGGCCAAGAACACAGAGTGGTAACCTTTTAATCGAAAATGCCTTGCATTTGCTTTCGGAACCTGGACCGAAATATTGACTGCTACAATTGGGCGCTAACTCACAACTGTTGTGCTTGTCAGGCATAGTGTAATCAAATGATTGATAGATAAGTTAATTCGCCAATGGTTATAAATAAAGACAAACCAGTATTCATGATCGATTACGTTTCTCCATTCTCTTACGTACACTTAAACTGATCTAGAAGCAGTAACTCCAACTGAGCTTCTTGATATTTTGTACAGAAATAAAGTAAAAAAGTGTTGTCCATGATTTGCACAGGCGTCATTACCAATTAAAGTAAATTCGTCCGCTGTGTTCTGTTCTTCATCCGTGCCTTCTTCCGATGTACTATCTCCAGAAATATCAGATACTAAGCCTTTTTGTTTACAATAATGTTCACCCTGGGTAAGGCCCAAGAGCCACTGTAGGTAGAAGCCATTTGTTTATCTCGCTTGATAAAGGTAGAACACGGTTTAAGTCACTTTGGTGGTGAAACTGTAGTGACCAATCCAAAGCGTATACTCGGAGGATGGTAAATAAAGGCCGTGTTCATCTCGCGAGATAAAGGTAGGACGCGGAAGATGGTATATGGAAGCCACGTTTATCTCGCGAGATAAAGGTAGGACGCGGAAGATGGTATATGAAGGCCGCGTTTATCTCGCGAGATAAAGGTGGGACGCGGAAGATGGTATATGGAGGCCGCGTTAATCTCGCGAGATAAAGGTAGGAGGCGGAAGATGGTATATGGAGGCCGCGTTAATCTCGCGAGATAAAGGTAGGACGCGGAAGACGGTATATGGAGGCCGGGTTTATCTCGCTAGATAAATGTAGGACGCGGAAGACGGTATATGGAGGCCGCGTTTATCTCGCGAGGTAAAGGTAGGATGCTGAAGATGGTATATGAAGGCCGCGTTTATCTCGCGAGGTAAAGGTAGGGCGCGGAAGATGGTATATGGTACATTACATGTTTTAGATGCCGAAGATATAGGGTTACATAAGGAAAGAGGGAACTGGAAAAATAATCCTAAACAAGAAACTGTGGATAAACCCCTACTCCTATTCAAAAGACAGGGAAGGAGTGTGAGACGCAACGTCCATTTTTTAAGAAGAAAACAGAAAAGCTATCAACAACGAAGTAGGAAAATTCTAGTATGGCAGATCATATCTGAATAAAAGGTAGAAGTTGCATTACCTTTTCTGTGACGCAACCAATGTAATCGAGGAAGACCGCAGGAGAGTGAGAAAACTGAAAGACTCGGCAGATATCAAATTGTCGTTTAGATGCAAAATTTCTCCCTCACCGACAATGCATATTTTCATCTGTTGATGCAAACAGAAAAAAAAATCCTTCCTATCGTAGCTTGAAGATCCGTCAATTTTTTTAACACGTACATTTTAAACAAATTTTTATTAATCATTTCACCCAAAGCAAGGCGTTAAAGCCACTAAGACACGCGGGGTTGCTAAGTGTTAGAGAATATAAGAAAAATAAACACTATTCAAGAGATAGGACGATAAAAAAACAAGAATCAAGAAAACGAAAGATGACGATTGACATTACATTTACATTTTTGAAAAGCAAACTTGACTGGAAAGCAAGAAGCCGGAAGAATATTCGACAAGTGCGATAGAAGAAACTGTAAGAATAGAACTTGCAGTTACATGTAGCCATTTCAACTGTAAAATGATGAGACCTTGCTGCCAATCTAGTACAGCGTTTAAATTCATAATGTCTAGGTGCCATAGAATCACGTTCATCAAAAAAATCACCATGAAATTATTCATAGAAAAGGCAGAAGGAAACTATGTTATGGCGATGGAAAATTAACCGAAGCTGTGATGCCACCTCAGGAGCATTAACATTGCAGACACTTCTTTGGATTTTGTCAAGAATCTTTAAATGTATCACAGAAGCACCATGTGTGGCAGGAATATACAAAGCATGGTCGAATAGTAGACTTATAATTATGCTAGATAGATTCTGTCGAAAAAGATTTACAACTTTCCTAGCAGAAAATTGATATATATCAGGTCATTCCATAAGTTCTGTCCGAATTTTGAATAAAGAAAACAAGTGACCAAATGTTACATTTAATTACAGATTCAATCAACAATGTATTTTCCCTGATTATCTATGATTTCCTTCCATCTATTAACAAGCTTACTAATTCCATTACTGTAAAATTCTTTTGGCTTTGATTCAAAGAACTCACAAATGTCAGTTTTAACCTCTTCCTGTGTTACAAAAACTGTTTCTTCCAAATGATTCTGTAAGCTATGAAACAAATGGTAGTCTGAAGGAGCAAGATCGGGAGAATAAGGTGGATGAGGAATTTTCTCCCAACCAAGTTCTTCGATCTTTTGTGACGTGATTCTTGCTGTGTGGGGTCGCGCATTGTCCTGATGAAACATCACCTATTTTCGATTCACTAGAGCAGGTCTTTTTTTTCCTCAAAGCTTGGTTCAAACGCTCTAATTGCTGACAGTATATTTGAGCATTAATTGTTGCATTCGGTGGTAAGAATTCAAAGTGGATTATTCCTTGGCGATCACACCAGATTGAAATAAAATTTGATCAGTTTAAATGCATCTAAACATAAAAATAATGTTCAGCTCCATTTGTTTTTTTTTAGGGACGTGGGTTACAAATAAATGAGTAAATGTTGATAATTGAATCTTTCTGGGCTGTGAAGTTCTTCGTGGTCGTGCGGTTTAAAGCACTATAAATCAGACAGTTTTTTTTTTCCTATAAAGGAAGGGAAGAAATTCTTCCTCTGCCGGAGAGCACATGCCTCAAATATATATATATATATATATATATATATATATATATATATATATATATATAGGCAACATTTCTTCATTGATACATGTTTCATTAAATAATATAGACAAGTTTAGACTATTTTATGCAAATTCCTTTCATATCGTCTGATAAACTTAATAACAGTATCATTGAAAGACGAAAGAAAATAATCAAATTGATACATGTTTTTAATTCCCGTCTAAGTTTATCCCGTGTATTGTTTAATATATTGTAATGTAATTGTCGTCTTTGATGATGGCTTATGCAAATAGAAAGGGACGGAATATGTGATCCAGCTATATCAAGTCTGATTCGCCACTCCTGCGTCACCAAGGCCCGTTGGGACAGTTGGTATGACGTTTGCCTGATAACGTAGCTGTCCGGGTTTCGGTAGTGGATGCGTACGGCTGATGAGTCTCAAATTTAGGACGAAACGACCGTACAGTCCTTTCTGCATTCTGTTGAGGTTTCTGCTAGACTCGATGAATTACTTAATTATAGTTATCTCAAATCCTCTCAATTATATATATATATATATATATATACACACCCTTGTGCAAATTAATTGAAACAAAGCAAATAATTCCGTTTTTATTTACTCTTTTGTCAATGAAATATGACCTAGTGTACATGTTAATAATTCCTATGTCCATTCCACAAAGTCTGTCATTGTAGATCAACAAGATTCTCGATTGATTTTAAATGAGGAGAGTTTCTCGGCCAGTCTATAGTATTTTGATTTGCTCACTGGTAAGGCTTGCCCGTGTGTATGTGCAGTGTTTCAATTTTCGTACGCTTCCTTGGAGTAACGTCCATCTTAGACAATGGCCGTAGGACAACTAATCGACAATCGAGACAATAGTATCTAGGCGTGATAAAAATCTAATGCAATCACTAATGACGCCATATTTTTTCAACGCCAAAGAAATTTCATCATACATCCCGAAAATAGATTCATATTACTGCACCCTACTGCAAAAGACCTCATCTGAGGAAAAAATAGAAATCGATTACACCCTTTCACTCCAGTGGTTTTAAAACTGACTGTATGTTAAAAGAAGGGGAGCTAAATCTGTTGTTTCGATTAATTTGTACAAGGAAGGGTACAGAAATAGAAATAATCATGTCTTAGAAAGAGTCTGCCGTGTATACACAGCAGAAAAAGTGCTCAACACCATATATTATGGTAGGGCTATTCTAAACAAGGAATTACCGCACTGGTGTACACAGTTCAACCGCTAATATAAGTTTCATGCCTTTAAGCAATCGTCAGGCGGTCGGCAGATGTAATACGAAAATTGGAGCTTTTATACCCCAGGAAACACCCATCCTGCCAAGATCAAATTAAAGCCGTAAACACAATAATAACCCTCACCACTTTTTTTTTTTTAAAAAAAAAAAAAAAAAAGGAAAAAATAATCAAAATACCTCGCCAATGTGTCAAAAAAAGTGCTTTATATATAAATAAAAAGAAAAGAAAAAACATCTGAGGGACTTTATCAGGGTAAATGCAAGGATTTTATTTTGTAATCTGTATTTACAGACGACAGCAAAATGTTGTAATTTTTTTTTTTAAATTTAAGAAACGCTCATATATATTCAGCAGGTTAGCTGAAAAATCTGGATAAGTTATGGAGGAAACTAAGTGGCATAACTTAATGTCTAATAAACGAAAGCGAGTAAAAGATTTTCTTGAATGTTTTATGCAAATTCATCTCTAAAAGATTCTAAATTGGGATTAATTTATGTGCTATAAAATTTAAATAACATGAAGTTGTGAATTTTATCATTTTCTTTTCATTTTTTTTTTTTAACATTTTTATAATCATGTATTTTGGCTTGGGAAAGAAGTAATTCTTTCAAGAATAGAAATATTTTTACAAATTCCAAGGCGCAGATTTATATTTTGGTAAGAGTCAATAGCAGCAATCTCAAGGATTTTCCGCCTAAGTAAGTTATTTTCTCTTTTAATAAGTGTGGCATTCTTTAGATCAAAACTGAGGTTGAATCTATTTCTATCTATAACTACTGCATTTCAGGAATTGTTGTGTATAAGATCTCTTTTGTTTTCATAAATACGTTTTTTTGTTTTTTAAATTTCAGCAAGTTACTCGAATGTATTGTGAGCAACAGA